CGGACGGGGCGGGGCGGGGCGGGGCGGGGCGGGGCGAGACGACCAACTTGCCCGTCGCCCTGTCTCACCCAGCCGGGGCGGTGCGATCTCTGCCGATTAGATTAGGACTCGCTTTGCGACGGGTAGGAGACTGTCGCCCACACAGCAGAGATCCAGCTCAGGAGAGGGGGGCGGGGCGGAGATGAACAAACGGAGGGCTAATGAGGGCGGCGATGTTAAGTTGAAGGGAGCACTTCCGCGCGTTGGGCGTTGGGCGTTGGGCGGCGGTTAAAATGAGAGGGGCAAAGATGACCTGGGGCATACGCACTGCTTGTACTCCATGGCGATCTCGTAGAACTTCTCCCTTCGCTTGCGGTACTCCGGGTCCTTGAAGCCCTGCGGAAATCACGGTTGTTTACAGTAAAGAGCGACCTAGAGAAAGAGAGAAGGGGGGGGGGAGGCAGGATCGACGAACAGGGACAAAGTTCCTCGTACTCACCGGGTGGTCGGCGTCCAGCTCCACCCCGTACATGAGCACGCGCTGCGCGTTGTCCAGGTCCGAGATCTTGCGCGGGAACCAGGGCATGTCACCAAAGTCTGGAGGGAGGAGGACAACATAATGTTTTAAACCTTCAGGACCCTAGTGCGCTCTTTGGACGTAACTGAGCGTAACCGGGCGTAACCTAGAGCACCCACCGAAGCTCGGCGCGGCGGAGAGCATGCCCAGCCCCGGGTGCGGCGAGGGCGACTCCTCGCTGGCGGTCAGGTTGATGGCGGACACCTCGCGGCGCAGCATGTGCACCAGCTGCTCCATGCGCTTGTTGTCGCACTCCACGTCCACCATGATCTCGGCCTCGGAGGGCCGGTTGGCGCTCTGCCGCGACTCGATGTGCACCACGTTGACGCCGAGGTCCTGCGAGGGTCGGAAATCCGTCGTGTAGGGTGGGGTGGGGTCAGCGCATAAACAGCCAGGTCGTCGTCATCATATACCAGGTGATTCAGAGAAGACTCGGGTGCGAGCGGGTTTGCCTACTCGCTCTGTCCGTAAAGCAACATGGCCCCTTAGGTAGGCAAACCCGCCCGCACCTGCGTCTACTCTGAATCACCCGGTTCATGTCAGAGTGGGCTACTTGCCTGGAAGACCTGGAGCGCCCTCGCCAGCCCGCCGACCTGGTTCTTGAGCGAGAACACGACCGAGTTGACGGGCTCCTTGGAGCCGGCCGACCCCGGCGCGCCGCTCGGCCCCACGTTCACGCCACCGCGGGGCTCGGCCTGGTGCATCGGCCCCGGCAGCTCGTCCTGGCGTCGGGCAGGGGCGTTCACGGGGTGTTTGAGAAGGGTCTTAACGAGGGGGACTTCACTTAAAATAATCAGTGTGCACCCTCAAAATAAAATAATCAGCAAGAAATCAGAAAAAATATAAAACACATAGCAAACATTTCTGTAAAAATTAGAAAACAAAGCAGGAAAAAAGCAGGAAAAATT